TTTTTTTTTTTTTTTAGAAACAAAGAAATTTGGATGGGACGCTTTTATAGAAAAGTTTTTAGGGTTTCATTTGTCTACTACTTTGAAAAATTCTTTTGTATTTGATTCTTTGTTAGAAAATTCAATTTTTTTAACCATTATTTCTGAAACTATTTTTTACAAAAAGAGAGGAAAAATCAAAACTTTGTTTCAGACATATTTCTTATTGCTTCTTAAAATAATTTTTTAGTAAAAAAAAATTAATTTTTTTACTAGAAAACTACTTTAAGAAACAATGAGAAAGCCATCCGAAACAAAATCTTAATCTTCATTTGTGATAGCTTTCTTACTGCTCTATGAAGTAATTTCTTAGTACTTTTTTTTTTAATTTAAAATTTTTGCACTATAAAATTGCTTCATAAAACAATAAAAAATGTCGCAAATGATCAAAAAGCTTAAAAAGCAGTTGTTAAAAGCAGAAATTAAAAAGCTTAAAATATCCCAAATAAAATCATACTTAATTTCAGCCTACGCTTGAACAATGAATGCTAAAATTGCTCCTCCATTGCATTATGTAAATCAAACTTTTAATCTTCTACTTAAAACTTCTATTTGCTCACACTCTGTAACATACTTCTTCACTTCACTATATTTATCTTGTGTTTGGACAATTGTCTTAACTTTCCTGTTTGATAATTTAAAAGCTTTAAAACAATTAACATTTGAGATCAGCAGAAATCATCCAAACAACCCAAAGAAGCTCTTCTGGCCTGCAATTCATCCCATTGATTTCATCTTTCAAAATCACCAATACAATCAACTGAAGTCAACAATTCTTTCAGAGCCGATTTGAGAACCAAACTTCACACTAAGTCAACATTAAATTTTTCTCTTAATCAATTCAATCTAAATCCATTACTCCTTCAAAGAAACAAAAAAGATCTTCAAACATATAAACCCTAAAAACAAAAAAGCTCTGAATCACCATAACAAAATCAATTAACGGTAACTTTTCCCACCATCCCAGCTCCCTGATGCGGAGAACAATAAAAAGTGTAAGTCCCTTTGGCAGTCAGAGCGACCGAATAAGTCTCTCCAGGCGCGTTGAGCAGATCCTCCTCATTCATAGAGATGGTAGAAGCGACAACACCTGGAGGAACCTCTTCCTCGTCAAAAACCACATTGTGAGGAAACCCGGCATTGTTTCTGAACACAATCTGCTCTCCAGCGTTCACCGAAAACTCATTTGGAACGAAGACTAAGGAGCCATCGCTTGCGCCCAAGAGGACATCAATGGCGAGAGCGTTGGTGGTCAGTAGGGCAGTCGCGGCTGTAGAAGCCAAGCCTATTCCGACTTGTTTGAAGGCTTTTCTGGCAGACATGGAAAGAGCCATTCGGGCTTTGGGGAGGATGGATGGTTTAGGGATGGAGATGGAAGGGAGAGTTATTGTCGCAGAGGAGGACATGGTTGAAGTTGAATGCAGAGGAGAAGGAAAGGGGTAGGTGCGAATGTGCTCTGAGTATTATTAGTCTGGCTTATATTGTTGAGAGAGGAAGGACTTATAAGGAGGTTAGAGTTTTGGATAAGGATAGAGATATCTTTCCATTTCCGAGTGGCAGATTGGATGGGATTTGTGTGGATGAGATTTTGGAGCTTTTATTATCACCATCCTGCGGTTAAACACTGGATCTTTAACGGTATTGAGCGGTACTAAGCTGGATATTTCAGCAATAGGGTGACATGTCACATTTTTATTGATCTCGAAACACTCTCCGGTTTAGGGTTAAACACTGGGTATCCAACGGTACTGAGTGGGTATCCAGTGGTACTGAGTGGAAGTATCGAGCGGTTAATCACTGGGTATCCAACGGTTAAACACTGAGTATCCAGTGGTACTGAGCGGCATTGAGTGAGAGTACGAGCTGGTTACCCAACAATAAGATGACATGACATGTTTTTATTGATCTCCAAACACCCTCCGTACTCCGCTCGAGATTTTGTTGCTGTTTTTAGTTTGTTTTTATGTAGATTAAAGCAACTGATGAAGCTCATTTTGGAGGATTTTAGGAGTCACTATCCTGACTAGAAGAAACTGATTAATTAATTTAATTCGAAATTAGGATTATAAATCAATTGAGATAGACTAAAAAAATACATTTTAGCATAATTTTTCTTTTGTTTTTGAATCGAAAAATTTTATACTAAAAATTGCTTTATGAAATAGCAAGAAAGTTATCTCTATTGAAGCCTTACTTCTATCATTACCAACAGTTCTCCTAATCCACTGTGCCCTAACAGTCATCAGATCCAAATAGAGTGACAAGTGAAACACAAACAACAACAAAGACTAAAAACCTTCAATAAAATCCAAAAATTACAAATACTTAAAAGAAGAAATTCTTACTTCCAAAGAAAAAAACACACCTTAACATACAGAATGTAAAGAACACTTTAAGAAAGGCTAAAACCTGAAATTTAAAGCCTCCAAACAACTTCACATAGAACTGCAGGTAATGCCAGCTGAGCACTGCAAGAATGGTTAAAACGCTATAACTTAAGCTTCATTTGGGATAACTTTTTCATTATTTTCTAAAATAATTTTATAATAAAACATTTCTAATTTTAAAAAATTATTTTAGAAAATATTATTAAGAAAGCTGTCCCAAACAAAGCCTTAGGTATCGTTCGGCTTCCTTATTACTTCTCAAAACAACTTTTTAGTACAATTATTTTTCTTTTTGACTAGAAAGCCGCTTTAAGAAGCAGCAAAAAAGCTGTCCCAAAAGAAGCCTTAGATCTAACAGCTGTTGCTATTGTCAATTGATGCTAAATGTTTATTCCTGTTCGTTCGCACAGAATTCTAAGGCCTGCTCTGCTTCTTTTAAGAATAAGCTTGTAAGCTGCTTCTGTCCTCTTCTGTATACTATGCAAGATATTATGTTTCTAGTCATGCCTTTCCTCTCTTCTGTGGAACTGTTCTCTCTGCAAGTCCAGATTGCATTGAGATGTTAAACATGTGCTTGCATATTTGATAAAATATATAAAATCAATAATTTGATATTTGATTGAGAATTTTAAAAATGAAGATAGGAGGGTATTTTTTTTTTTTATAAATATTTATGATTTCAGTGTTATGGATGAAAAAGCAAGTTTATCATCCAATTGTATCACAAAATTCGTAGTGGGATAAATCAGCATACCTCATTTGTTCTTCAAGTTCCAAATTGTGGAAATCTTCCAGAAGCTTGGAATCGTTTTCTACAGTTCCTGAGATTTCTTCAAGTTCCATCATCCTTGCAAAAGGAAAGTTACTTAGCATAAATACCAATAAAAAAATACAAAATTTGCAGCTATTGAACCCCGCTGCAACCAGGCATCCGCTACTTTTGCTAGGTCAGACATAATGCCCTACCTGTGTGGATTGCATGGCATACGCATAATGCACTATACCTTCCAGTCTATATCACAGAGAAACAATCTATTCACATTTATTGTTGGGATGGTAGGCATTACA